AGGATACGCATACTAATCGAGTAGGACAATCTACAGTCTAATTGTCTGGATTTATTCAGATTGCGGATATGGCAAATTTGTGCATTCTTATACAAACAAAAGAGCTACATTTGTCACTAGCCACAACGTATGATGGTAGTTGCTGTTACTAATGCATATTGTGCTGGATAGAAAATGAATTCCAAACCATGCATGTTATTTGGAAGAGATTTGATGGACTACAGTGACGAAGAATCAACTGTTCCAATGGCTTTAATGAAACTGGGAAAAAAAGCAACAATTTTAGATTTGAATGCCGACTCGTCAAAAATTGATTCTCCTTGTCATTTACTAAGGGTTATCTGAAATGCATGGCAGGAGTCAACTGTTAAATACACAGAAAAAGATACCAGCGAAGACTCGCAGGTAAGGAATGTTACCAGTTTGCTTCAGAATCACGGCAATGTTTGCAGTTTGCTATTTGGCAAATCCATTAGGAATAGCAGTTCATGTATACGTAGGGCAAATTGGTACCCAGTGCTTTAACTGGGCTAAAAAAACTCATTATGTGCATACAATATTGATACTCTAGAGTATAGAATAAAGTACACGTGCATCAGTATTGCACTTGTATAAAAATTAATAAGTGACAATACACTTATATGTCGAAATTTTTCTATTTGCGCCACGTACCGAAGCTTGAATATGACCTGAAAATTCCATCAGAACTAACTGCACAATGTATATGTTTCGAGCGCAAGTGTTTCTTTGTCAGTTGTTCTTTTGTTGGTCCATCACCAGAATTGACCAAATTGAACCTTATCTAGGTATCTATATCATTAACTTGATCAAATCAAGTTTAACCTCATGTGTGCTATGCAGCTTTATCGAGGGATGGATGCCAAGCATTAGGCTATCACACAGTTTTATCTAATGTTCACGCTATCTGCCTCTGAAGAGTTCAGTGGCAAATCGATCTGATGAGGTACTCCCAAGATGAAAGTAAGCCTTGATAGCGTCAAGTACTGTGACAGCGTCCATTAGCGTATTCACTAAGCCGTTGAATGTGTCCACTTTACTCTGTACCTTAGTAGATCGAATCCCATTTTACAGTAGTGACATTGCATTAGAACTTTGTATTTAGTTGAAAAAAAATCCGGTTGATAGAAGAAAAAAGGACTACTATCACTATCACATTTGGTCTGTATTAGAGAGAGTGAAACATTACTGACCATATCGGAGATTTTTATCTATTGGCAAAGTCATTCCTGATTATGGACCATAGGGTCTCCCCAATTTATAACGTAAATTTGTATTGAACCAGGCTACAAATGACGATTGCAAGATTGACCAGCGATACGAATAACGCGGAGACTTATCCGTGGGGTGGGCTGGGGGGGGGGGGCAGGGGGGCGCAGTTTCCGTGCATGTCCTCTGATCTCAACATTTTCCTTTGGTGAAAAAACAAATTCTGTCTCTTGGTGCATAGCTGTTTAAGAACCGAACTCTACCTCATACCCCGTGTTTAGTAAATGTCTGGATCTTCAATGAAACGTTAGTGTATCCCTTGGGTTACACTAGGTCTGCTTTTATTCATTTATGCATTCAACCCTGTGGATATATTTGTAGATTTTCAAAATACCGCCACTGGATGCTAATGCATTTCACACTATTTTACGGCAACGTTGGTATTTGAATTGCATTTTACTTTGTAAACAGCCACAGAAACGGGCTCAATGTACGATACAACATTCAAATCGTTGGCCGCCTGGGCTCTTGTTCAGTTGGACACAGGTTTCGTTGATATTTCTATCAAAATCATAGTAAAGAGAAGCTGTTTGACGTGTCCTGATACGATGGCGTCCACTGTTGGTATATCTATGCTTCTTCGTTCTTTACGTTTCTTTTAATTATGTATTGAACTTCACGTGGACAACGGTTTGTTTTTAATCCATTGTGTATCTTTTAACCCCGCGTTAAGGTCATGCAGTCAAATAAACATGAGGATGCTGTGACAAATGATTACTGTTGTGACTTATACCGTCATTAAGGATATCGAATGGCTGTTTTAAAAAACTATTTGAATTCACATTTTTTTTGAAGCAGCCTGGATTTAGTGCCCTCTACGTTTTGCCATCAGTTGCTCAGAATTGGCATAAATATTGGCAATATGTGAGAGGATTGTTAAAGTTTTTTTTTGAATATTTGATATATGGTTGACCTTAAAGGTTAAAAATTCTGATCGGTATGGCGCTTGTTTGAATTGGGGTCAGGGATCATCTGTTTTATGGACTAGTAACCACAACGTTTACACTGTGAAAGTAAAACTGCACACGCGCTTGGCTCACTTGCACTCAATTATATAATATTGACGTGAAATCTGTTCAACTTGCTCTGTGTTTCCACGTTGAACTTAAGGCCAAAACGAGGACATCAGTGTGTACAGCTTTGTATTAGATCAGAAGGTATGACAAGCTTTATGAATAATACATTGGAATTGGTATTAAAGTCAAATGATCTGAAAGACGCACGTCAAGATTCTTTGCTCGGTTGCTGTCTTCTTGATGTCCATTCGTTGGCATTATTAGTTTTCCCAACAGAAATGAATTTCGTTTTAGAGGAATTGGTCTGTGCAAATCGGGTTTAGGGTCACGGTCTTTGAAGTCTAACCTAAACCTACTTGTCTGTCCGGTCATCCCGTCATGTTATAAGTGTGATTTGATCTTTTGGGTGGCATATACCGAGAAACTGTCTTTTGGATTGCAAGAACGATGTGTGATTTCCAATTTGACTTTTAAAGTGACTTGTCGTTGTAAGGGATTCTTAGGGATGCATTACGCATACGGATCAAAAACACGTTAGTGCCGTGGTATAATTAAACTGAAAAAAAAATACTTGGGGATTCTCAGCTTTATCCTGATGCAAGAATCTTAAATTGGATTGCTACCGAAGAAACCTCCCGGGTGCTGCTGAGAAAAAAAAGCAGACAGATCACCAATCTGCCCGTTTTTAATACATGTACCATTACCCTCCAAAGAATACAAATTCAATTATAAAACACTGGATAGCATTTCGCTCGTTTTATTTGATGTGTGTTTGCAAAATGATTACAAGTCATGCGAAACTATTTAGTGCCAGGTGAAAGAAAACTAAGCTAAATTTCTCTCTGCGTCTGTATTATTCTATCAACGATAAAAAGCGGTCTAATGGCGGACTTAATGACTATAGCCGAAAGTTAATTTGAACCATGGACCTAATGCTTTAAAACAAATTTATAGTCTATCACGCAGAAATGAGAATTTTACATTGGTCTAACATCATAACATTCGCATGTCCAGTATCATAATTATAATCTTGTCGATGGTAATCAAACTGTTTTTACAGAATAATTCCAGTGTCATCACAGGTCATCTTAACAATTAAGCAGCCATATTAATAAGTATTTTCACAAGAATGGGTGTCCTTTTAATAATAATAATAATAATAATAATAATAATAATAATAATAATAATAATAAGTTCCCGTAAAATACGGTGAAAATTGGAACGGGGTTCTTTAATGGTTAAAGGTTTTTCTCAGTAAAATGATTAAGAGCGACGTGAGTCCTTTGCCAGATCCCTAAGCTAGCAGTTTATTGGATTACCAAAGAACTGGAATCAGACAAGTCCCGTGGCTCAAGCTTGATATCTAAGCATCCTGTCAGCATATCTGTGAACTACCAGCGGATTACGATGACATTGATTTTAGTTATATTTGTTAATTGATATGGTTTGTCAAAGTAACCAGATCTAATTATTTACTTTAGCTAATTGCTTTTGGACCTCTATTAATTTATTTATTAATGTGCCTAAGTAATGAAACTGCACTTTATTGCAATGTCAATACATCATTGGTGTTGTCTCTTTTAAATATTAATTATAGTGGACGTATATAGAGTGTACATTACGAAATATACAGTTATCATTTGCGCAATGAGGATCATCAATCGATGTGCCTTATTGGTAAATCGATGTGTCTGAACCAAGCTTACCGTGTTGAATAATACGTTTAATGGGAGATTTTTTTAAAGATGGTATCATGTCAATTTGAATAAACCCATGGGCCTGTTTCAAAAGACGACTTAAGTCAAAAGTCGGTCTTAGCAAGAGTGCTAGGAAGTTAAGCAAGTATGTTGCGTTTCACAAGGTATCTAAAGGGTAGCTTACCTTGTTTTCTGGTCTTTTAATTGTGCCTCAGGAAACTTATACTTTAAATGGTGACCTTAGCCTTTCTCGTGCGAATACGTACCACATGCATGTTTTTATTTTTCCATCACTCCCTTTTTTTCGGTATTTGCATGACACAATAATATAAGGCTCTTTTCACCTCGACCGATATACTTTAGTGATGCAGTCTGTACCGGTGCACTTTGAAAGTTCAACAATTTAATTATCTGACTATATCACGTAAGAGAGTCACCTAAGCGTACTCCTTTGTTCGACAAGGCAATTTAATCCACTTCCGCTAAAAAATGACTTTTTTATAGCGAGTAAAAACCCTTCGGTCATTACATGTCAGGACGTGTCAAAGTGTGCCAGTGTCACGAAACTGAGGGTCCTTGTGACAGAAAGTCCGCCCTACATATAGTTACAATGGTTAGGGTTAGTTTAACCTAAGTAGATCAAAATCTAGGGCGAGGCTCACCTGTGCAAATGAATGGGAAGTGGACTCTGTCATGGGGGACTTTCTGGTACATGACACCGGCGCGAGAGGAATATGGTATTCCGCTAGGAACCGCAGTCCGTTTCACCATTACTTCAACAGGAGGCATTCGTCCCATATACTAACCCCAGTACTTGATCTAACCCTAAACTGTACTTCCGTTCCTAGGACTACCTACCTTTTACACTGGCTCAACTGTATAACCAATGCATAAGCCACCGTTTGATGTAAAAAGGGCCCAAGTCGGGCTACTTGTCCTCAAACGGATGCTGATTATTTATTGTTTTTTTACTCATAGCTCCATTTTGTTACGATTTCAGAGGGTGTGAGGGAACGAGGAAGTGAACGCTTGACTTCACCGGAGATCCTGATCCGGACAGACCTAATTGGATTAAATAATTAGGCATCCCGCAGAGGAGGCGGATAACTACACACGCTTCCAGTGCAATCGGAAAGGACGCAGGCGTGAGGTGAGAGTTCCGGGTTATTAAAGTTTATAACAAGGCCGTTGAAACACTAACAGTTTTGTTTAATACACACAGGCATATAAATAAGCACAGTCATAACGGGAGGATGGGAACACACCACGGTTACAAACTGAGCCCATATTTTATAGCGTGTGTACATGAGAACATGAGTATGACAAACCGGAATGTTCACACCCTGATTTCGCCCAGCGTAAACATTGATCGATTTGTTTCTGACCTGGGTCAGTATTCATAATTCGCTGTTAAACTGCACACGGCAAAATAAAGGCTGGTCTGTAACAGCTTAGCACTGGAGGATTTCTTATTCTCGAATAGAAGCCCAAACAGAACGAGGAAGAAACGTTTCTAAGGGTCGAGCAGTGGCTTGTATGAAGCGCAGTAAAGCGGTAAGTTGCGTCAAACATTAATGGGATGTTACGGTGACGTAGCTTTATGATTTTGTTGGTCTTGCTCTGACGGTGCTGTTTTTACTAGTATGTATTTACAGTATGAGTGAGGTTTGATTATATCGATCGATCAAACTAGTTAGCTAGCTATTTAGTTATAACTGTGGAACAAATGCAATGAGGCATGCTAAAAAAACCGAAAAAATTAAAGGAACACAGCCCTGCACGGCGGCAAGTAAATTCAGCGTTGCTGAGAACCTGCGTAATTATGCCAGCAAGGTGTCCGCCCCTATGGCTTTCACTAGAATGCTTCGATTAGGCCTAGTTACGCAGGACGGGAGGCGTCCATGGGGAGTAATCAGGCTTATTCGCTGATGGACCGCTTAATGATGTACGATGACCTTTGGTGGCGGCATCTCTGGGGAGGGTTGATCTCATTCTCACACAGACAGTGCCAACTGGTTCAACCAGGGTATTAAGATGAGGGATGAATCCCAGACAGTGCATGTTATTATCATCGTTGTTTTTTTAGAAGACAGTGCAATTTGGGGTATTTAAAGCACATTCTTCTGTTGACCACAATTTGTGGCCCCCCCCCCCCCCCCCATTGATGTTTGGGAGGAGTCGGTGGACGAATCTGTCATTCCGCTTGGATGCATGTCATTGTGGGTTCGCTTTTTGTATCTGGCACAGCAAGGTGGACCTCATGGTTGGGGTGTTATTTTAGCGCTGACTGCCAGGGGTTTAAATCATTGCCGTTAGGTTATGTGTTAAATAAATTCAATGAAATTGACAAGTTGACGCAATAAGTGCATATATAGTATCTCGCTAGAGTTGCGTGATTAGTAAATAGGATTAGGGCTAAAAAGGGAGGAACATCCCCGACGGGACCAAAGGAGGCGTTTATTTATTAGAAATGGAACCAAAAATGGAACACTTCTTGCTTATGTTTCCTTGGGTACAACGCTTCTAAGTATCGCTTTTATTTTCTGTCCAGGAGGCGTAAGTTCCACATGGTGCGTTTGTTTATACTATGAGGGTCTTCTGGTTCAGTCTTGGCATGTGCAGAACTCTGTTCTTTCTTCAGTACATCCAGTGTTTGATCACTGTGACTAGAGTGCAGTTGAAAACTTAATTTTAATGGCAACTGGCTTTAAAAAGGGTAACACTTAATGTTTGTTGAAAATGTGTTTATCATCTGTTTATCATCTATTTTTAAAGATATCCATTTGCACCAGACTTAACGCAGTGCTCTGAATCGACTTATGGCGTTTTCATTGACAGGCAAATGACATTAATGCCCTTACACTTAATGGAATACAAACATGTAAATTTTAAAAAAGTAAAAAAGAATCAAAATAGTGCCTAGCTTCTCAAGAAACAGTTATGTTAATAATTCATAACTGGGCCAACCTGTGAGTGGAGTTTTACCCAACCCTGTCCTCTTCTCAGAAAAACTAAGAAAACAATCAAATATATGTTGACATTCTCATTGTATCGGTTTTTGTTGTATGTGTGATGGTTAATTACCACGAATGTCTCAAGAGGACGAGCTCACTGTCGTGTTTATTCAGTTAAAGAATTGGGGTTTTGCATTTAGAGCACTAGCACGCAGAAAAGGCCTGTGCAATCATGCAATGGCGGCGACCGTGTTCTTTTTTTTACCGTGAGCTTAGTCAGTAACATGGTCTAACATCATAACGCTAAAACCATGGCATTCCTAATAGCATTCGATTTGTGTAACATATCCACGCCACCTAAGTGGATATTCGTCGTTTTATAACATTTAGTAGGATTTAGTAGGACAGCCACATTTAATTTTGTTACGTGAACAGCTTAAGTGTTTGATAAATCTTATAATAGGTTCTTAGCTTTCAGTTAAGTTGGTTATGGAACCAATATTCAATACACCGATGAAAAACTAAGAAGCATCGGCGAAGTGATGGTGACAGCTTAAATTCGCTCCTTGAAAACTCACTGAAAACTCTTTTTTTATGAACACGTTTTTGCCTTTCCCAGTATACTGTATAGATGGCTGATCACCCTTTCAGTTTCCGCTGTTTTAAATCTCAATGTGGTTATACGTTGACAATATCTGGTCCCGGTTTCACAAAAAAACTTAAGTCAGGTTCCCTGCCTAAGAACTTAATTACCAAGGTTACATGGTCACATGGGCACACCTTACCTATCAGGAGCAGTGTAACAGCACCCTGATCGAAATCCTAGTCAACTAGGCCAGGAAACTGACTTAGGTTTTTTGTGATACTGGAGCCAGATATACAAAATACATATCAATGTCCCCTTTCCGTGACTTATCATTTTACTGATGGATTATAAATCGTTTACTTTCAGATTCCAGCATCTCTCATCAAAGGTACATCTGGTGCTTGTTTCTGTTAACGGAGTTTCCAGAACTATACAGCACTTCACAAGACCACTGTCTTTCACCCTTGGGCCATATGGACTATTAACGGAAGCCAAAATCTTATCGATAAGCCAGCCGCATCTCACCTCAAATTCAACCAAGGAAGACAATCTAGATTCGGGCTTTGACCATTCGATATTGACCACTCGAGATTCAAAGCATTTATTGCCTTCGGTATTTTTTGGTGGAGCTGATAGCAAGGATTTGACCTCATCGGAACACCCCAGTTGCTGTCATGATGGTTCTTTTCAAATGACACTCGCAGCGCTTCTCAGAAAATCACCATATTGCTTTATTCATTTTACCACTTGGGACGCAAATCAACAAGATAGTGCACACTTCCTATTAATATCGATGGCCGGTTGCCGTTCTATTTGTCTAATTCATAAACCGTCAAAGGTAATAAATTAATGGGCAGCCGCGCGGTTTCCATTGCCGCAAATGGGATTGAGAGTTTTATAAAGCATATAATTGCACATCGTTCGATGACTAAGTGGGTATTGCCGTGTCAAGAACACAGTTCACGCTGAGATGCCGCACTTTTAACGAAGTGCTTATAAACTGAATTTGGTTTCATTTTAAAGTCAGACTGCGGAGAAACGAGAAACAGTTGTGTCATTGTTTGTTGCCAAAGCGGAACTGTTAGAACATTTGCTGATTCGCTTTTGACTGGTGCATTCCGTTTTGGGGCAACCAACCTACGATTGATTTTTCAACGCCACTACTTACACGGTACACATTTGGTCGTTTCTCAGCACAGAAGAGTGGTTTTCGATTTACCTGTAATTGCCAGCACCATTCCGTTTAAAACCTCGGTGGATCCACTACTTGGCAGTGAACGGTATATGTTTATGAGACATAAGTACATTACAATTTTGCTATTGTAGCATTAAGAGAGTGGTGCATGATAAGAAAAAGAGGGCGCATTTTGCCTGTAGCAACCAGCAAGTGGAACCGCCCAGCCATTGCAATTGAAGTGGGCATTGAATTAATCACGATAGTGCCCTGGGAAACAGCACACCATATTTTTTCCTTGAGGCAACAGGAGAGTGGAATTACGCAAACACGCTACTTAAAAGACAACATTATATCAGGGGAAAAACGCCTTCACGCACGTTTCACTTGCTGCTGTAGAAAAACTTTTAGATACACAGACCTTATTTTGCCTTCAGGTGTTTGGAAAGGAGAACTTGATTTCGCATATTGCTCAGTTAACTAATTTGGGGGTTTGATACGCATGTGCCCCGAAACAAAACTGAGCACATGACGTAGATCGATATGTCACATTATAGACGGGTACATGCAAATTAACTTGAAAGATACGTTGACTTCACCACGGAGAGCTTTTAATTTAGCTTGCGTGTTTGATTCTAGAAAAGAAAGAACATTGCAGATACAGAGCGAAAACACCGTAATAGACAGTTAACAAATCAACAGTATCTGTGAACCAATGATTATAACTACTACGAGAGGAAAGAGAATAACGTTACGTTTCTGAAACCACATGTGACGCACATTCCATTGGGGAGTAAACTGGAGTGCGTTGTCATTAAGTCTTTTTAATGGCATTAATGTTGGCAGTATAAAGTCAGCAAGCCCATATAGGTGCGCATTATCACCGGTTACACATCTGGCGTCATAGGTGAAAGAATAATAGTGCGTGAGGTTTTATGTTTAAAATACTACATCTTCGTGTTATGTCTACTTTTTAAGTCGTCATTTACACAGCTGAAATTTATTAACTTGAAGAACCCCAACGAAGAGTTTAACTGCAGTAATTGGCAAGAGCGCAGTGTAAGTACGGACTTTTTTTCACAAGTACATAGGCCTGCAGACTGAAGGGACGTATACGCAGAATAAATATGGCGAATTTCAATTATCTCACTTCTGAAACCAATGTGAATTGGTCAACTGATATTACAGTAACTGGGGAATACGGAGATATGTTAAGGCCTACATATATGTCTGGGGCGAGCTTGTATAACTCTTCGGACAACACAACCCAAACGTATCCAACAGATCCATCTTTGGAGAAAAAGGTTGCAGATTGGATTCTGCGAATAATTCCCCTGCTACTGTTGATATTCGGATGTATCGGGAACATACTTGCTTTCTTGGTCATGCGTCGGCCATTTGTTCGCCACACGTGGATGGGGTACCTCCTGGCGGCACTTGCTGTCGTTGACACCTTAGTACTCATCTTTGGCTTATCGCGACATCTGATAAGAATATACTGGGACATTGACATCCGGGTACTTCATGACGCCATGTGCAAGACGCACCGTTTTGTCCTGTACACCTGTCAGGACTTGGGCGCCTGGCTTCTGGTGACTTTAACAACGGGCAGATTTATCTCAATTCGATTCCCCTTCCGTTCTGTCACCTGGTGCAGTGTCGGTAGGGCCAAACTGGCGCTTGTCATCTGCACGACCATCATGATTGCCAAAAATGTCCATCTCTTTTTCACGCAGAGCGTTGAGGAGATTTACCCAGGAAAACTGAAATGCACAGTTCTGGAGGAGCACAAGGAGTTTTGGGTGGTGGCCTGGCCCTGGATTGCACTCAGTATCTACGCAGCCGGGCCATTTACAGCCATGATAATTATGAATCTCTTCATATCGAGAAGCCTTCGAAAATCGGACCAGTTCAGAAAAAAGACGGTCATACACCAAAACGGCTTGCGTAATAAGCAGCCGGGCAAGAAATACAGCGACACGACAGAAGGGGGAGCTAACGTCAATAATCATGAGACCACAAGGTCGATGACCTATATGTTATTGACCGTCAATTTTGTGTTTTTAATCACCGCCACCCCAAGCTTTGTCGTTCTTATCATAGAGAAATACCAACCGATCCCAGATCTAGTTGACGCATTTGTACTTATATTAAACTATACGAATCATGCGGTTAATTTTCTGTTGTACTGTGTTAGTGGACATCGGTTTAGACGGGAGCTTGGAAAACTGACTAAACATTGTTTCCGATGCAGACAACAAAATGATAATGACTCGTCTCAAGGAGGCACAGGTAGATACATAATAACGCCACACTCTCGTTCCCCCGCCATCTCGAGAAATAATTTAAACTTGGGAGACGCTTCAGAGTCAACGAGATTAAGTCCGTGTCGGCTAAGTCCCAATTTAAGTCGCGTCTAAAAGGACGGATGTCCATGAAACCGATGTCAGTATTTTCAAACGTTCGTCAGAATGTGTCAGTAAATGTATAGATGTAGGACCACTGAATATAGCTGCAGATTTCATTTTATCATTTGAATGAAGCATTTGACTTCTATCTCGATCTAGTGTGAAAATATTCTGTATGAATTTTAAAAGCAAAGTCCAGTAAGTGCTTTTTTTTTAATTTAGTTTTTAGAATTAAGTGTTTAATGAGTGAGTGTGCATGTGTTAAAGCTGTAGAAAACGTTTTACTAGTATTAGCGCAGGAGGTTACCCATGTATTAGCTGGTGTTTATCGACACCGGTCTCTTTTTAATGTTCTTAATTAGCTGCGTTTTTATTGAAGCATTTATTCTATAGCTATTGAACAGTTCGAATTAAGATAGACGTTTTTATGTGTCAAACTTAAAACAAATTTTGTGGTCTACTAGCATTGTGTTGTTTTTTCTTTTTTGTGGATTGTTGAAAATATATAATGCATAATGCAAAACATCGATATTTTAGGTGTCGTGCGCAGGACTGGATTTTATCGCGCGGGTTTTCCATTGATGTTTGCGCAAGAAAATGCATAGAAAAAAACTTAACAGTTATAATATTTTGGAACTTGGTGACATTTTTTGTGTGTTGGTGTAAAATGATCTTATAATGATTTGATTGAATTTCCATACAGAAACTGAAACTAATTTTAGCAGATGTTTCTCCCTCCGAGAAGGGACCAACAATCAACGTTTTCCTGCAAACATTTTATACGCTTGATTGTCGGTGGAGGAATATCCAAAACCATATAAAACGTATTCACAAAACCGCATTAATAAAATATCATGTAAAATACCCTTTTTTACCCTAGGTTCTAGATTCCGGTATTGCCAGCTCGATCTTGATTTCATATATAACCCATATCAGCAATACCGTATACTAGTAAAAGCGACTACATCACAAGGTATATTTAACAAGCTAGCTTTAACGTTGCTCTGACACTCAGGGTACCCTTTTTAGGTTTATTTAAGTTATCATAATCCATTAATTTAAATTGCAATGTCTACAAACTGCACATGTATGTACCTCATTTTATTTGACTCAACATAACTACAATATTTTTCCTGCTAAACGCCTACTGTACCTCAAATGGTGTATAATCAATATAAGTTTGTGGGGGATATTTTTTACATATGCAATTAATTGTGTGATGGTTATATTATTAAAGCCGATACTATAATCGAAAACATAGGTTCTGTATCAATGGTATGTGTAATGCCCACCTGGTGGTTCGTTATTGAGCACAACGAAAACAACGGGTTAATTTCCTGTTCTCGGAATGTCAATTACCGCTTACACGCAAACGATTCTCACCAAAATTCTTTTGTTTCCGAAAGTTTATCTCCGTAACTTTGGGTTTTGCACGGTCACGTACCCGCACATGCCCTCTCTCTCGCGCGCGCTCGCGCGCACATGCTCTCTCTCTCTTTCTCTTTCTCTCTCTCTCTCTCTCTCTCTCTCTCTCTCTGTCAGCATATCTTTCTGCATTTCTATCATTTACGCCAGTGACTCACATTAATACAGTGTTACGTTATAGAGCTCTGTGAAGCATAAACGACAGTGTGCCAATTACATTACAAACGAGTTTGATAACCAAAAATCCCTGCAGCGGTTTTTCAAACGAGTTTTTTCTCTCTTTCTCCAGTCTGTCTGCCCTAACAAAGGGTTTAATTGATTACTCTCCTGGCCTTGCCACACGTCGACTGAATCAATTAAGCTGTGTTTTCTGATGTAATTTGTCGCATTGCTATGCTATTAGACTGAAAAGAATTGTGCTTTCAGATCGTACAGTTCACTGGATATGCGCATTTCTTGAATACGCCAGGAATACGGCAGCTTTTCTCAGTGTGTAAATTAATGGTTTGCTGCTTTTATTTTGCCTAAAAGGGTTACTTTTTGTGAGTAAATTTATAATTCAACGAAAACAACATGGCATATGAAATCAAGATAGACTGCCAATTTCCCCATGCTTTCCCGCTTGATTTGTCAATAATATTGGAAAATGTCAAAGCTTTATGACTATTCTCCTTATCACAAAAATAAACTAGAATCAAAGAAAAAGAAATGTTCAACATAAAAGAAAAATAAATCCAAAATTCTGTGAGGCCGGACACCGAAAACAATTTTTGCCGTAAAAAAACTGATCGAAATACATTACCATTGTGTAGGTGAATATGTATTAAGTTCCTGGAGGCGGGGTTCACCGTCCAGATCAACCCAAAGACCCCATTTCCAGAGATTAGATCGATCTACTTTAGATCGACCTAACTCCCTGGGGGTTCACGCTAAATAGCTGTCAGCCGAGCGGACACGAAAGTTAATTACCCCCTTACAGCTTGTAGTAGGCGGGACGGACATTTAAGCCGGATTATCTGACAGTAATCTAGTGAGACTCCCCGCGGGGATAGATCGACCTAAAAGCTCTGGGAATACAGCCAAAGACTTTATTGTGTGTTGTTGTAGTGAATACGACAATAAACATGAACTGTGCGTGTGCGTGCGTCCCTACAGTCAATAAACAAGCTTAGAAAACACGCACACAGACTTGACATAAGGCCCTATATGTACGTGTGGTTTATGGGTTGTTTCCTGTATGTCCATGGTTGTATTCAACATCAATGATCGGATGGTCAATTGCAGCAGTTGTTCTTATCTCAACAAGCACAATCAATGCTTTTGCAAATAATGCTTTTCAGCCAATGTGAAACTGAAGCAGTGTAGATCAGAGAAATATGTGTATACGTGAATTTGCCCCATCCGAGATAATTGATTACTTGAAACTAGGCAGATCGTTGTGTAGGAAGTCATACGGGACTACAGAAAGTCCAAGTACATTGTATCTCTCTCACACACAAACACACGCACACATACACGCATCTCTCTCTCTCTCTCTCTCTCTCTCTCTCTCTCTCTGTGTGTGTGCGTGTGTGTGTGCGTGCGTGCGCGTGTGTGTGTGTGGGTGTCGCACACAAACTCTAAATGAAGAAGCCGTCCGTTTCGAACAAAGGACCTAGTTACATAGATGCACGAAACAGTGAAGTGTCTGTACTGTTCGTACTTGTTGAAGTAAATAAAAAGCGAAAATAGACGAATAGACCAACAAATAATGCATTAATAAATAAATTAATTATTTTACACATGAGAATATAGCCTATATTTTAATAAGTAATTTTGTGGAACAATTTGTCATCAGAGACCCCAGGCTGTAGGCCGTGACCCGTCGTAAGAGGCATGCGCTGCCTACATGCTATCTTCTCCGAGTTTAAGCTGTAACTCCCTAATTCTATTGCATAAACCAACCAACACGTAACCAATCAATTTATCAACCGAAACATCGGTCAATATGTAGAACTCGCGGGACGATCTTCTTCAACGGCAGGCGGATTTTAGGTCACACCGACTTTTCCAGGTCAACAATAAATTCTGTATTTTACTGACTACCAGTACACGTTCAACTGTTAATAAATTGACTTGCATGCTTTACATGCTGTTAACAGTTGCGTTTGGAAACTGAAATAAAAGTAAGATAATTTAGAAAAATTTCATGGAACACTATAAGATATCAGAATTAGCACATGTACACATAAGATAAGCCCGCACACACTCTGCACAAACATTTAACAGTGTCGTGTCTTGGGTATAACGGTTGGCCACTATGCACAAAGTCGCCACCATGCAGTAGGGAGCGCTGTTGTGTTTTTCCTTTCTTTTTGACATCATTTAATTTATTATTATTACATTTTTTTACATTTTAGCAGTCTCAATTTTTATTTACGATTCCATTTGTTTATTACCAAATTGGCGAAACTGATTTAATTGAGTTATATTGTTTTATTGGGCTAATTTTATGCTTGCCATAGGCGCTATTTTCCGTAAAAGTCTCTTGCCTTACGCGAAGCAGTTTTTGGTATCCTTTCTTTAAAGACCCACACATAAGCTTTTAAATTGCGTAAGCAGCATACGTGCAAACTCCGCAACTAACGTAGAGGCTCGTGGTATATCACGCAGAATGCACGCACGTGCCTACGACCTTCAGAGAACGTTCTGCACGAAAAGGAGTGGGTTAATCTGTGCAACAGGCGGCATGTATTATCTCGCGAAGCGTTGGCGTGTTTTTCCGGCCGTTCTCCTATAAAAGTTGGCTTTGCCCAAGGATAAATCGCTGTTACATATAGATTTATTACAGTGAAGCCGTAACCAAAAACATGAAGGTCCTGATTGCAGTTCTTTTCCTGGCAGGTATGTTTATATAACAATATATTTTCATGTTTTTCACCAGAGAAGTGCAGATTCAAAATTTGTGAAATGAGTGACTTATATTCATATACTTCTAAGGTTATAAACATCCTCCTAGATAAAAAAAAAGTCAACCGTTTTCATTGTGTTTAATTTTTTTATTTCTTTTATTTTAATAATTCTTTTTCAATTTTGTTTAATAGATACATGTTATCTCCTTCAGTATATACGTTAACGACGACAATACTCACATTGTTCTGAAGCCACCGTCTTCTTTCTGTTTTATTCATTTATTTTTTTATCTATTTACTTATTTTACACTTTTAACTTAACTCCAGGATTCCGTTTTTATCCGATAATACCACAAACACTACCCCTGTAAGTTTACATTGAAATATTATACCATACCAGTTACATGTGTAACATTGTATTGTTGCTCTCTGTTAGGCGTTGCCCTGGCCCAAGAGCTCCCGACAAGACCCCCAAAGCCCACCCGACCATCCCTTGAGGAGAGGTGTAAGATGATCGCCCAAAAATGCCAAAGTGTGAACCAGGCGAACACTTTGAAAATCTGCGGCTCCGACAAACAAATGTACACCTCCAAGTAAGTGACGCCATTTCTCGTAGCTGTGAAAAGAAAAGTTATGGGGCTCGTTACAGGGATTCTGTTTTTATATGGTTAAAAGACCACTTCTTAAGGATTTTGTGATTTACAGTATTTTATCTTAACTGATTTTCACTGTAGTGACTAAAGAGTTTATGTTTATCATAAATTAAAAGCAAAAAAAATGTTAATACAGCGAGTAAATATTGCAGGTGCCAATTCATGCTCGCCCGCTGTGAAAACCCCAGCCTGCGCGTGGACAGAAACATCAGACACTGCATGGGGGACCTGTCTCAGTTCAGCAACATGACCAAGCCCACCAGGGGGCCACGCCCAACCAAACCATCCCTGGAGGACGTGTGCCAGAAGATTAAGGAGGAGGGTTGCCCAGATAAGATGAACGAAGCCAATATCAGGATCTGTGACATGAAGGGCAACGTGTACACCAGCAAGTGAGTGGACAGTATAAACCTTGTAGTTGATGAACAAGATATCAAAAATGGAAATGTAAAAAAATATAAGGCTTGGCTTGACTTTTGGTGTTGCAAAGTAAAGAGAGAGATTTTAAAATGTTTGTTCACTTTTGCGTTGTTTTCCCACCTTTTGTTTAAAATGAATACCCAATGAAGAAATTGTGGTGACTTGGTAGTAGTAAAAAATAAGCATACGAAAAAAGGAAAAACAAAAACTTCATCTGGAAATAGATATTGAAAAAGCATTCAAAGTGTCATAATTATCGACATGAGTTCATTTTCTAACAACTTTGCGACTTTTTGTCTTATTCCAGATGCGCATTCATGACAGCCAGATGTGCCGACCCTACCCTGCGCCCTTCTCGTCGCTGCCGTCGCCCCCAGCCTACCTCTGAGCCCACGGAGCCAGCGCTGTAAAACCGTGGCTCGGAAGCAGCTTCACGGCTTCGAGCAATTCCCGAACAGCATGCATTTCGTAGATCTCCATTTTATTGTTTCCTAAAATTGATGAGCATTTCACATTTCAATTGTCATTTGTCATTTGGACTTCTCATTTTGTGCGATTTATCACATGGTAATAAAGTTTTCGGTTAGCGGTTAATTCATTCTTCAATTCATGGCGAAATAATAATGCATTTATCAATCCATTTATCAATAAATCGAATAATTGACTCACATATATATAAATTATTTATCTATTCATTTACTCATTTAATGTTCTCATTATTCTCTCTATTTTTCAACAAATTGTTTATATTTACTTTAATCTGGACGGACTACAGAGTATTGAGAATTACACAAACTAAGTGTAAACATGTACCATTTCAACCCCAAACAGAACTTCCTGCTGCTACCATAATATTATTTAATACTAATAATTTATCAGTGCTTTTCATCTTAATATGAAAATGATAATTATAACCAGTAAAATTGCCGGTAGCGATATCAAATGCAGCATCCCGATTTAAGGGGTTGCCTAAAACTATCAGTATGCATCTGTCGATTTCTGTTCTAATCTCCCAAAACCCAGGGTGTTCATCCTTAAGCTGAATTAAAATTCAGTCTCTAGAATGTATCCAGGTGAGTATTTCTCACGCTTATTTGGGGTGATGACGTCAGCATTCATCATCTCTTTGTGTCACGACTTGGACCATGTCATGATGGGTGAAAGGTCACGTTAATGAGGTAACGACGGTAAAACTGTGGGCTGGCGAGTAAGACTACGCTGCACGACCCATCTTCTACCCTATGATATGAGAGGCCTCTAAATTAGCATACAGGATTAAAGTATAATAATTTTGTAACTGACTGCTAGCGCATCCTGTGGTCAGGGGGTACCTGTCTTTACAGGGTACATGTACCTGTCCATTATGCTATTTGAACCCCCCCCCCCCCACCCCCCC